GTTGGTATAAGCCTACTACATGTAACTTTGAATATATATTCAGTTTTTTGATATATCATAGTATTTCTTACCATTATTGCACTCATTCCTATCATTACCCTTTTTTTTTTTCTAAATAATAAGGATCATTTTAAATGATTGTAGAATAGAATATTTGACTCAAAATAATGTAAGAAATTACATAATTTACAACCAAAAACAAAGTAATACACACTGTCACAGGCAACAATAATAAATAGAACAAAAAAACACATTAAACAATTAGCATATATTTCTAAGATTTTTGTATAATGGAAAAATCCATTTTTGTGAGGTGCCTGTTTTGCAAGTACCAGTATACACTTTTGTCCCCATTGAAATCAATCCATATTTAATCTTGGAAATATAATGTAACATGATTTCACTTATTTTCTGACAGCGAAAAAAGGAAGCTGGGAGCATAGTGTACATGGTGAATGGTCACAAAGGCAGAGTAAACTGTGTCAAGTGGATAAGTTGTCCAACTAGCCATGGCGTGAAAGAAACTGAAATGGTTTCTGGATCTACGGATAATACAGCCATTGTGTGGAAAGGAAATGAACAGCAGGTATTTCACATATTTTGCATACCGGTAGTTAACTTACATACCGGTAGTTAATTTGCATACAGGTAGTTAATTTGCATACATGTAGTTAATTTGCATACAGGTAGTTAATTTGCATACAGGTAGTTAAATTGCATACCTGTAGTTAATTTGCATACATGTAGTTAAATTGCATACCTGTAGTTAATTTGCATACAGGTAGTTAATTTGCATACCTGTAGTTAATTTGCATACAGGTAGTTAATTTGCATACAGGTAGTTAATTTGCATACAGGTAGTTAATTTGCATACAGGTAGTTAAATTGCATACCTGTAGTTAATTTGCATACATGTAGTTAAATTGCATACCTGTAGTTAATTTGCATACATGTAGTTAATTTGCATACAGGTAGTTAATTTGCATACCTGTAGTTAATTTGCATACATGTAGTTAATTTGCATACCTGTAGTTAATTTGCATACAGGTAGTTAATTTGCATACATGTAGTTAATTTGCATACAGGTAGTTCATTTTCGTACCGGTAGTTATTTTGCATATCGGTAGTTAATTTGTATGCTGGTAGTTAATTTGCATACTGATAGTTAATTTGCATACAGGTAGTTAATTTTCGTACCGGTAGTTATTTTGCATATCGGTAGTTAATTTGTATGCTGGTAGTTAATTTGCATACCTGTAGTTAATTTGCATACCTGTAGTTAATTTGCATACAGGTAGTTAATTTGCATACAGGTAGTTAATTTTCGTACCGGTAGTTATTTTGCATATCGGTAGTTAATTTGTATGCTGGTAGTTAATTTGCATACAGGTAGTTAATTTGCATACAGGTAGTTAATTTTCGTACCGGTAGTTATTTTGCATATCGGTAGTTAATTTGTATGCTGGTAGTTAATTTGCATATTGATAGTTAATTTGCATACTGATAGTTAATTTGCATACTGGTAGTTAATTTGCATACTGGTAGTTAATTTGTATGCTGGTAGTTATTTTGCATACTGGTAGTTAATTTGCATACTGATAGTTAATTTGCATGCTGGTAGTATTTTGCATACTGATAGTTAATTTGCATACTGATAGTTAATTTGCATGCCGGTAGTATTTTGCATACTGGTAGTTAATTTGCATACTGATAGTTAATTTGCACACTGGTAGTTAATTTGCATATTGATAGTTAATTTGCATAGGGTAGTTAATTTGCACACTGATAGTTAATTGCATACTGATAGTTAATTTGCATGCCGGTAGTATTTTGCATACTGGTAGTTAATTTGCATACAGATAGTTAATTTGCACACTGGTAGTTAATTTGCATACTGGTAGTTAATTTGCATACTGGTAGTTAATTT